CCCCCCAGATTTCATGCATTCTGTCATACATGTTGTGCCCTATCCGGTCAAGCGTTTGTACCCAGCTATCCCTCAGTGCAAGTTCGTCCACTGGAGTCTAGTCAGCCTATCTAGAGTCACTCCCTTAAAGGACATCTACTCTCCCTCACCCTGTCATAGTTGCCAGTAGTTCCTTGGCTAGGGTTGGGACCTGCTGACCATTTCCCCAGTTCTATGCTGGGTTTTTGTCTGATTTGTCTGATTGTGCATGCTGTCACCATTGTTGCAAGTTCATATGAGCAAGTTCCCAGTGGCCTGAAAGCCTATTTCCTTATGTTCATGCACCACGGGTGGGTGAGGTTTAACATAGGAGTCCTATCCAGTGACACACACTTTGTAGTCTCTTACTCTTTAAAACTTGGCCAGTTGTGGTCTTCTGTGTGCATTGCACTCTGTTGTATGAGGAAGCTTCGCTGGTGAGAGTTGAGGAATGTGTTAATATTCCCTCTACCCCCTGTTCTGCTATGCTCCTTCAGCCTTAGGTAGAGGTTGCACTGTAGATGTGTCACGTAGGTCTGGGAATCTCTCAGCTATGCATTCTCTGTATGTGACCAGTTTCTTGGGAGACTTTTAAAGAATTTTCATCTCTTCCTTTGTACACTCAAAAAGTGGCTCCCTCCAAGCGCAGAGGACTCTTTCATGCTTAAATTTGGGCTGTGATGTTGAGGGTAGTGTAGTACATGCTCTGTGTTTGCTCAAGTCGTGAATAACTTTATAGCAGTTTTCTATCCCCGAACTTAGTACAGTGCCATTTATATATAAGATACTTTGTAAGCATATATTGTCAATCCCTGTTGAGAACATTGAGTAACTGGAAGGCCCTTGACTTCTGCATTCATTGCACCTGTGAAAAGCTACATGTCTAGGTGGGTTTTGTGGTGGCTGTTGCTGTTTGTGGTGCTGAGACTCAAACCCAGAGCTTTGTATATGCAACTACTTTATCACTGACCTTAAGCCTCAGTCCAAATTTATATTTCCCATTAAAATATCATCGGAGAACTAAGGCAGCATTTTTCCAGAAGCAACTGTTTATATTTTTCTTCATTATTTATTTATTAATACTACTTAATGATCCAATAGCTTCTGATACATGTATTATTTAAGTCAGTAAATACTGGCCATTTATTCATTTTTTATAGTGATTATGCAAAAATTGATCATTTTATTTCTTTTGCCCTGGTGCTTCTCATAGATGACTTTGAGGCTCAAGCAGGTATTTTAAATCTGATGTACAATGTCCATGGGGTTTTCTTTTTCAGGTTGCACCTTGTGATGGATGAGAGAACCCTGTAGGCTTTCCCACTGGTGTGTTCTTTCTCAGCATGGTCCCTATTGTGTGCACATGTCCTTCAGGAGTTGCCTTATTGCCAATGTGGGGAAAGACAAGAGCATGGAGAGGAAAAAATGAAATAATAATGGAGTCATTTATTCAACAACTGTTGAATGCCAACTAAGTACTAGCTACTTTTCCATATGCTGGGAATTTAATAGAAAGTATAACAAAACAAACAAGAACCAACACTAAGAAGCTTATTCTTCAGAATTTCATCCTAGTGCTGAGTGCTTGTGGCATGGGAGGGGACCATAACATGTTGAGGAGGTGGGGGCACTGTTATGTTAGACCTGCTGCTTCTATTGAGCTGAAGTCAGAACCTGTTTGTTGTTTAGTCAGCTTTGTATTTTGTAATGATTTTATTAATTACTGATTTGTTAAGGCTTTTTGATGCAGCATCATGCCATGTGACTCTGGCTGGCCTGGTATTCACTCTGCAGTCCAGGCTGGCCTCCAGCTTCAACAGTCCTTCCCTCAATAGTGTCAGCCTCCAGAGTGCTGGGGTTGTAGGTATGGCCACCACACACAGCTGTGGGATCATTTCAGATCTTGAAAAGTTGCAGTGATGGGAGTCCTCATCTGCCCTCACTTGTTTCCCTTCTTCGCCTCTTTCATTGCGTTTGTGCATTTGTTAGGGACAGGAACCAGGACTGCTTCATGTTCACATTCTTAACTGAACTCAGATGTCATTCAAAGTCTGCTTGTTTCCCACTAATGTCAGCTGTCTGTCCAGAATCCAGTTTAGGATACCACCTTACATTTAACCATATTTCCATAGTCTCCTCCAACTTGTTTGAGTTTCTTGGTCCTTGTTCCTTCTGTCCATAATTTACTGTCTATCCACCATTTATTTGTATCATTGTGGCTTATTTTTTTAATACATCTATTTAGTGTGTATGTGCATGTGCTTGTATGTGGGCATGCACATGCCACAGCACATTTGTGGAGATCAGAGAGCAACTTGAAGGAGTCAGTTCTCTCCTTCCCCAATATAGATCCACAGGATTGAACTCAGGTTGTCAAACTTGGAGGCAAGTGCCTTAACTTGTTGAGCCATCTCACTGGCCCCTTGTGGATTCTTACATACTTATTTATACTTTGGATTCTCAATCAATACTCCATTGTTCATGCTGCTTCTCACATTCTGGCTCTGGCTTTTAAGGCTCTTTGAGGCTGCCTCACAGTTCCTTTTAATATTCCTCCAACCTTTTGTTCTCTAGTTTTTTTGATTAAAAAATTTTTAGACAAGGCTTCAGTATGTTTTCAAGACTGGGGATCCAATCCAAGGCTTGTCACATTTAGTTCAGTATTCTCCCTACCACTGGGCTGCATCTCGAGCCCTTCCTTGATTTCTGACCCTACAAGATCCCTCATCTTCTGTGCTCTCTGTTTCAGCACTGCAATAAGCCCTTGTCTGAGGGGCCTTCCATTGAGCCACAGTTTAAAAGCCAAGTTCTGGGTGCTGCCTGTGGCCATTGATGGCAGAGTATTGGCCTATCTTTGTTTTATAAGTTAAAATGTTTTTGAAGTCTAAACTTGAAAACCATGCTAAGAGATAGTGGAGAGAAGTGAAGATACCAGACTCAATACATTACAAAGTGAAAATTCTGTATGACTGTATTAAACTCTGCTTCTGGAAATAGCATATCGGGCCATTGCATTTATTTAAATAACATACACTTTTCTTTGAGACAGGGTCTGGCTGGCCTGGCACTTGTTGTATAGGCCAGGCTAGCCTCAAACTCACAGAGATTAGCCTGTCTCTGCCTTTCCAAGTGCTGGAACTAAAAGAATCACCCAGCTATAACATACACATTTAAAAAGTATTTTGAATATGCACTTCAGTATAAAAACTTTAAGATAGTTTCTGTTATTACAGTTTCTTTTTAATATTGGCATCCTTACCACTAAAAGTAGGCCACGATTTATTTCTTTTAATACAGTGGATTATAGGTGGAAACTGGGAGTAATATTGTTAGATTTTTTTCCTAAGGAAATGGATATCAGTTTCAGTCTACTTCACTTAGTAATGCGTCTCATTTCAAAAGTTATATTTTTCCTATTTGGGGTTTTAGTCTACTTTAGACATTTTCTGTATTGGGTGTTCGAAGGCAAATACAATGTTTAATTAAATAATTTCTGCAACTGAATTTGGGTTAGTTGGCATTTATTTCCCTTTGCCTCTCAGGCTGGAATAGGTTTTAAAAGTTGTACTTTCATTCTAATTTGTAAAGTTAGCTTTGAAGAAAACGTCCAAGTTGAAAAGTAGATCAGGCTATCATCACTGTAAAGAACAGTGTTTGCACAGCTTTAATTCTGCTGGCTTTTTCTTTGCAGAGAATGTTGCTGGTCACTACGTTTCCCCCTTTCATGATATTCCTCTGAAGCTGGACTCTAAAGAGGTATCACTTTAACTTATTTTGGGGATGAAAAACTTCTTGTAGTTAATAGTATGAAAATAACACTTCTGCTGTTGTCCAAATGTGCTTTTGTGGAAGTGCCTCGAAAATGGAGATGTGCTCAGCAGGCAGGAAGAGACACTAAAGAGATACAACAGGGTTGTGGGCCTCCTTATGGATTCAGATTTGTGTGGAGATAGGAGAAAGGATATTTAGTGGTCTGTAAAGCTTAGAATTTAGTAGGAAATAAAGATTAAAGTGCAGTAATATGGAAAATTAGTCAGCTTGTTTTAAATAATACTACAGTTGCCATTGTGGGTTTCTATTTGCTAGCACAGTGTGAACATATCATTTTCTTTATTCCTTATACGTTGCTATTACTATGTCCAAGAGCCCAGAGCATTTTATTGACTTGTCTAATAGCACACAACTGGTCAGTGCCAGAACCAAGTTTTGAACTGGCCTTTCTTACCACAGAGCTCCTGCTCCTTTACCACTTTTTGAAACAGGCTGTAGAAACCTAGCATTTCATTAGCTAGTCTCTTAAAGCCCAGCCACCTGGCAGTTGAGAGGGTGTCAGCCAAGTGGGAGTGTTAGGACCACTGCTGATGGGAGAATTAAGAGGCCTCAAATGCTGGCCCAGGCGTGGTGGTGCACACCTTTGATCCCAGCACTCAGGAGGCAGGGGCAGGCAGATCTCTGAGAGTTTGAGGCCAGCCTGGACCACATAGTAGGTTCTAGGACAGCCAGGGCTATAGGGAGACTCTGTCTCAAAAGACCAAAAACAAAAAACAAAAAAAACCACTTGACATGCATTATTGTCATAGTTCTGAGCACAGCTGCCATTACATGCTTATTTTGTTGATGTGGTCAAACACCTTGCCTGGGATGACAGATGTAGATTTCTGAGAGGTGGGATTAAGTTTAAGTGCTTTAATCCAGAGCTCGTTCTTCTCTTACATAGTGCTCAACGCCTTAGAGTGTTCTTCAGAAAGACAGGGAGTCAGGGAGTCAAGCAATCTGAAGAGACAGAAACCAGAGGGGCAGAAATAACTCTGCGCTACTATGTATCTCTCTTTGAGCGTGAGAGACAAGTGTTTTGTTTTGTCCAGTGAGCTATGGAATAATTTCTTATGTCTCCCAACACCTTGATTTGGGCCAAGGTGTGCGTGCATTTATTCATTTGACAAATAATCATCATCACATGTGTATTGTCAGCTATATGCGATTTCAGGCACTGGGTGGGGAGTGGTAGCTAAATCACTCAGTGGAAGGAGACAGACAGCCATAAAGAGATCAGTCAGATCATGTTTAGTACTGTAAAGGGAATGTAGAAAAGACTGACTGGTGGAGTCTTGTCTGGGGCACACCGTAACAATCCAGTGCACCTTGCTATAGTAACTGTAACAAAGCTTCATTATTGAGTGGCTACAGGGTGGAGACAGAACAAAGGTAGAAACCTATCTCTGGTCATAATATTCTTCCTAAGGAGGATGGGTTTGGGGGAATATGAAATTTGAAGATAAAGCAGAACAAATTATAGCACAATGCCAGTGAATTCTGGGGGTGCTGAAATTGGTACACATAGTGTTTGTATAAACAGGTTTCCCTACTTTTCAGGAAATTTTTGCACTTTGTATTTCAGGATGTAGAGTTTTAGGGACAGGAATAATGTTTCAGGGCCATCTGACTTGAAATAATTATTTTCTGTTTATTTTGTGCCTTCATTAGTAGCCATTTTAGTATGTAAATGTCATCTAGACCTGGTGAACATTTGTGTTTTTCTTTTCAACACACCACCTAGCCAGGCTTAATTTAAAAAAGCTTCATGGAGGCATAGTTATCACACCTTGGTAGAATTCCCAGGCAGGTGTAGCCAAGCACTTTCATGGTTTGTTAGTCATGGTCCCTGGAGTTTCATTTCAATAATGAAATGACTGTTTTAAACATAATTATTGGAAACTGCCAGTCTCTCCTTAAAGACTCAACAGAGCCTTTGCTTACTTTATAAAAACTTGGAAATTATATGTGAAAGAGCTTTAGCTTTTCTGCTAATCTAGTTTATAAAGACAGTTTGATCCTCTGTTCACTGAGGATGCTACTGATGATAGGTTCCTGATTTGAGTCAAATTTCTGAACATCGTCTAATAGATATACGCAGTAGGTATGTCTCTATTCCCATGCTGTGCAACTGTTCTTTTGTGAAATGTCACATCATAAATACCATCTTTTCTTTTATAGGAAAATGGCATTCCTACAAAGAAAGCACGAAATGATGATCATAAGGTATATTTAAAAGGTTTTAAAATTTCCAATCACTTTAAAAATTTGTTTGTATGTGTATGTCTATATGTATGTAGGTATATGTACATGCCTGAGGGTTCCTTCAGAGGCCAGAAAAAAAGATGTTGGATCCCATACAGCTGGAGTTCAGGTGACTATGAGCCACCCAACATGATGGAACCAAACTCAGGTCCTCTGGAAGAGCAGCAAGTGCTCTTAACCACTGAGCCATCTCTCCAGCCCCAGTTTATTTCTTTCTTTATAGTTATTATTATTATTTTTTGAGACAGGGTTTCACTGTGTTGCCCTAGCTGGCCTGGAACTCACTATGTAGACCAGGCTGGTCTCAAACTCACAGAATTCTACCCGCCTCTGCCTCCCAAGTGCTGGAATTAAAGGCGTGTGCCATCATGCTTATTTCCTTTTGAAATGAACACAGAGAAGATTGTCTGAGAGTGTGTTTCAAAATGAAGACACAATAGTCTTTTGGTTGTAGACCAACAGTTACAGAACTATATGCTAAAACAAATTCATTCCAAATCTATCTTTTTAAAAAAATTTTGTTTTATGAAATTCTTTTTTTTTACACCCACTTCCCAGATAGCACCCTCCCATAGCCTCCCTCCCCCCACTAGAGCCCTCATACTCTGATATCCCTGCTACTGTCTGCTGTGTTGTTGGCACCCCCAGCCAATCCCCACTACTTGCCCTTCTGGTGAATCTAGTCAGCCCATCTAGAGGTCTTAGTTTTAGGAGGTTCAGCTGTTCCTCTTCTAGCAGTAATCAGTTGTCACTATTTTTTAGATAAGATTGGGGTCTGCTGTTCATTTTCCCAGTTCTATGATGGGTTACTATCTGGGAGTCCCTTTGGCCACCCTGGCCAACAACTCAAAAGAAGGTATCACCTGTCCTGGCATTATTGCTTTAGATATGCATATGGACTCTTAAAAAATTATATTGGCCCCTTCAATCTTTAGTTATACTTTCCTTTTGGGTGTTTAAGGCCATATAGTTGGCCCAGATAAACCAATTTAT